TAAATATTTATTCCAAATTTAATAAATTTATAACATAGTAAAAATATTTCCATCTCTCATATTATCTAATTTTAAAAAGCCAGAGTGGCCATTATTCCCCTTTTTGGACGCCTATGGATGGAAGTCCTCCATATAATATTGACAACAGCCCCCCACTTATTTGAGCTAATGAACGTGAATAAAATATTAAGTGTTATTATATGAATATTTATATATTCTGAACACTTCTATGATGAAGTATTGAACACGCATTCTGAATACAAAAAAAATATTCTTTATAAAATATGTGTAACAGGTGTATCATATTATCATCGTATATGACGTGTATTACTTAATCAAATAATCATCAAATACGAGTATTGCGAGATGCTTCCCATTAGGCAGCTGTTGCTAGAGGCTTATCTTAATAATGAGAGGGAATAAGAGGCAAATCATAAATGGTACATCTTATACATATAATACTTAAAACAGTGGAGTATCATTCCCTATATATTTTATTCTATAACTGAAGCACCTGGGTTCTGAGAAGGAATCTAGGAAAAAAAATCCCCAAAGCCATACCTAGTTGTTACTTGTTGGATACTAGTATACAACTGTCAAAAATAATAATTATTAATAAATAATAATAAAAAATTATAAAATTAGAATGATAACTAGGTATAGTTATATTATTATAGTATAATATTATAATATTGATAAATAGGTGCATGTTAAGGTAAATAGGTATATGCATCTTATATTAAATGATATTGCTATATAAATATTTATTTAACTATAAAAGGGGAAGTACCCTTGAGTAATAAATAATACTAGTAGGCACAGTACTAAAGTAGAATCTCAATTTGACAAATATAACAGTGAAATTAAATAATAAAATGTTTTAAGTGAGTTAATATTTTAGATTCTGAGCGGAGCGAGGAAGCTAGTGGTTTTATAATGGTGTTTATTTAATTACGTATTTCTTATTTTTTTTAAATCCTGTATACAACATTTCTACCAGAAGGAGTGCTTCAATTTCAACATAATAGTACCTTATCTTTGAGCAAATTGGATCAAGATTGTACTTTAGAAATGTAATTTTTTGATTTTCTCAATAGGTAGTTATTTAATGCCACAGAAAATACTACCGACAAATTCCGAAAACCGGCTAAAAATGGAATTTTCATTTCTAATAACTAATAAGTAATAACGCTTTGTTTATCGCCAGAGTAACGAATAAAAAATAATAATAATATTATAATATTAATTCAACTAACAACAGGCTATAATAATTAATAACAATATAAAAAATCCAGACTGACAAATCGTCTCCGCTCCGAATCGTTTTTCTTATACAATGGTATTATATCATTGAATTCAAGTTTAATACAATCCATTATCCATTGACCCACTTGCAACCTACTGTACAGCAGCGCGACATCCACTTACCCGCTTTTTAAAATGAATATCGTTTTAATGGTTATGAATCCTAATATCTTAAATGATTTTTAATTAAGGGTTAATAATATGTAATTTATTAACATTATCAATTTTATAATTTTAAGTAGGTACTTAATAACATTATCTATAGACGAGAAATAGTAATAACACAACAATAATTTTTACGACTCCAAGTAACAAATTTGCCTAGATTTTACTATAAAATTAAAGTATCAATTGGATACTTTTAATTGTCTAACATATTTAATATTTATTTATTATAATTTATAAAATAATTTTAATATCTAATCGGAAACAGTTTAGCTATACTCGAATACGAATTTGATCTATTCATGAAAAGTTGTCCATTTAATGAAGTGGAAACGATAAATAATATACTGTGTGTCAACAAAAACACTTCCGCAGTAATACAGTGTATAAATATTTAAGTCATTTAAAAAAAAAGCGGGTAAGTGGATGTCGCTCTGCTGTACAGTAGGTTACAAGTGGGTCATTGTATAATGGATTGTATTAAACTTGAATTCAATGATATAATATCATTTTATAAGAAAAACGATTCTGAGCGGAGACGGTTTGTCAGACTAGATATTTAATATTGGCATTAATTATTATATCATGTAAGTTGAATTAATATTATAATATTATAATTTTATATTCGTTTTTATGGTAATAAACAAAGCGTTAGATATTAAAATCCAATTTTTAGCGGTTTTTCGTAATTTTTCGGTGGTTTTTACCGTGGCATTAATTAACTATTGATAAAATCGAAAAATGACCTGTCTTAAGTACCATCTTGATCAAATTTGCTAAAAGATAAGGTACTATATGTTGAAATCGAAGAATTCCTTTTGGTAGAAATTTTGTATACAGGATATAAAAAAAAAAATAAATAAACACCATTGTAAAACAACCACTAGCTTCCTCGCTACGCTCAGAATCTAAAATAAAAATACTAATTTAAAAAATCGAAAAATTGTAAGCTCAGCAGATCACGTTAGTTATTACAAATTTTAAATTAGAGTTAATTGTTTATCTTCTACAATTTAAGGTAAGATTATTATCTAGGCAATATCATAGGCTTTTTATTATATTTTAATTTTAAAGCGATTTATGAATATTCCAAGATATAGGTACAATTATAAAATATAAGTATTTGCCATGGGGATTTATTTCCGATTACCCTGAGAAGTGCTTAGGTACCTACTGAGTACTAGGTGCTCACTACTCGCAGGGCACAGCAGCAATGATACCTACTTGAGTGGTACCAAAATTATATTGACTGACGACTGTCGGCGACGGGGAGGTGACTCGACTGTAGACTGTAGTCGACTTTGAGTGCATACCCCCTGCTTACACACACACACACACACACCGGTTTGACGGAGCGACTTTTGGGAGGAGTACAAGGCGGAGGTGCCGTAATAAAACCGATCGGTCACCCGACAGAGTGAGCTACGCTCTCACTCCACTCGCCGCCTGAAATCCATACGTGGATACGTCGCGTGTCGGCGACATTGCGACAATAGAAATAACGTAACTAAAGTTAACTATATTATTAAACCCTTAACTTTTCTATGACGGTACGTCGATACTTAATTATAGGCTATAGCAATAAGCAAGACGGCTGGTTATATAGCAGGAATATTTATTAGGGTGTATCATTGAATATGAATTAAACTTTGAGGGAGGGGTGGTACGGAAAGTTGCCAGTTGGACACAATATATATTATATAATATGAACTTACACATAATTATAATTATTGTATTCCTCAATTTTAGATCAGGCAATTTGCTCATTTTTTTTTAAAACCTTCCCAGTTCCCACTCAAAATCCCAGAGCACAATCTGGTTGGGCAGGGAACGTTGTGACTATCATATAACAGAAAAGAAAAATTATACTAGTCGTGTAGGTATATGCGGATTTGAGTTTTTCATAAATAAATCATTACGATATTTCTTGTTTAATCGACCTGGGTGAAGAGGAATACAGCCAAATAACCAGAAACAGAACGTTCGAACAAATATTGAGGGCAGAAGAAAAGAAAATTACGACAGCTAAAAAATAATAATACAGGCAGCAACATGGGAAGGCATAGCCGCGTGTAACGTCGTACCACAACACTCGTACGTTAGCGTAGTACAAGCATAGAGGGCAGAGGCTCTATGATAGAGCATTGGCGGCGGCGGCGGCGGAACATACTTCGTATCGTTGTCGTCCGTCTTTATACGGCCGCCGGTGCTCCGACAACCGTAGCTCGGTGCGTCGGTCGAGGCGCTCACCACTTGGCGCTCAGGCAGTCAGACTCAGCACTCAGCAGTCGCCAGTCAGCACTAGCTATCGGGACGTGCGCGTTTTCAAAGTGTCGTTAAAAGAGTGCGCGCGCGCACATTCTCTCTCACAGTTCACACTGGCACAGTGCGCTATCACACGCAGCACACTCCCCCTCACTCATTCTTTATCTCTCACCGACGGTTCGTCGCGGTGTGTTTGTTTCTCTTTCTTTCGAAATTTCGGTTTTTTTTTTTTTTTATTATCACATTAACATACACAACGCACAACACATACACGATAATATCCCACACGCGGTGTGGCCGATATCGGGCACCATCGTAATAATAATATAGGCGCGCACACAATTTTTTTGTGGGACGCCAAAAATCCTCTCTCCTCGCGCCGCTCTCCCACTCGATAGTTCCGTCGCCTTTACTCTGGTCGTTCGCCGTCCGTCGAAGACCGAGGAGACGTTATAATATTATTATTATTTATTATTATTATTATTATTATTATTATTATTATTCTATTCATTATCGCACGCACGCTCGCACGCACTTACACACGCGCGTAAGGGTCCGGTCCAGGGCGCGCGCGACGTTATCGTGTTTCGAACTGACTAGTGACTACCTACGGGGAAAAAAAAACAAATACATAAATAAACGAAAAACGTTTCTGCTAACGTTACCCCGAGTCTCGAAGCTGCCCGCTGGTCGCTATTCGCTGCCAGAGTGTCACAGAACAACAATAACAACAAAACAAATAAATAACCACCGTCGCCGATCGACCGTTGCTGCATTGTTCGCGCTCGGCGACCGACAACGATCAACTCTCAAGACGTCCTTGGCTCGATCGTGTCACGCACGCACGTATTGCTTGTGCAGTTCTGCTTAGTGCTTGGCCGACCTGTAGTCATTACTCATTAGTCGTCGTCACTCGTCGCTCGCTACTGTCGTAGTGTTGTCAGCTGCTGGACCAGTCGCCGAGACGCAACGCGTGCGAGCGCGTCACTCGAACCTAGCGACGAACACGTAGGTAGTGACTACCTACTTGCAGACGACACATAATATCGTGGTCTGCAGGGACCACCGACCGCCCCCGCCGGAACATGGGTCTGGCCACCGAAATTCTGGTGCATGTGCGCGTTGACGATACGTGAGCGGCAGCGACAGCAACACGGGCGGTGTGTCGCGAGAGCGCTGGATAGGAGTTGTTGAAATTTATTATGGTGGCGGTGGAGGTGTTGCGCTATATTGTTGTTTGATGATAGCCGTATTGCCGTGGAACCATGGCAGCCCAGCAGCAGCAGCTGAAGTTGTTCACATATTCGGTGATCGAGCGCAAGGACGAGATCGAAGAGGTAAGCGCAGTCGTCGACGATCAACCGCTCTGTCACGCCGTACCTTGCTCGCACTCTTGTACGCAATGATACTATAACAATGTCGTGCCGTGTGTGTGTGCACGACCCGCACGTCGTCGTCGTATAATATCGTACGTTGTGTGCGCGAGCCGTGTGCGTTGACCGTCGTTGTAGTATCCATCGATATCGGGTCTTTATTTTGTTTTATCCCTTAGAAATACGAACGGTGTTATCAGACCCTCCAGAGCCTAACGACTGGCCTCAATGATCGCGAGTACCATGACGCGCTCACCAGCCACATCAGCAAGGACAAGAGCCAAGAGGAAGTCATCAGTTTAGGGCTGCTGACTGCTGTGCTCCTAGACACAAAAAATGCTGACAAAGTATGTATGAGTTTGCTGTGTTCCATGTATTGTTGAAAATGTCTGTAGTGTGAACCAGTTACCTATTTATTATTTAGTTTTCAGTTTCATTTTTTTCTTACAGGCGTGTTGTATGAATATTATTTTTATGGTATTATGCGCCTCATTCATTAAATAATATAATTTCTACTTATTACACAGTAATTCAAAACTGTTATTGTTGTTGATTAAACTTTATAATGTGCAAGAAAATTGTTGAACATTAGGTACCTAATTCATATTTGTACACGTCTCATTATATTACTTATTCCAAAAAGACAAATATTCTAATTTGTATTCGTTTTTTTTCCCTAGAATTTTTTCCCTAAATAACAACTGGTTCTTAACACGTTGACTGCGTACCTATGTCTTTTTGCAGTTTTCCCCCAGTGCGTATGATAAAAGTAAAAACAAAAGAAATTAAAAAAAATATAAAGAAACTGCTCATAACGATGTATGTATACATATTTAAAACATGCGTTTAATCCACGCTAAATAATAATAAAATAACATTCAGCCACGCGTAGGGAATTTTAAACCATTTATTTTAAATGTATATTAGACGCCATATGGCGTCAAACGCGTTGCTGAATGATACTTATGACGCCAATTGGCGTCAGTATGCAGTGAACGTGTTAATCTTGGTGGGGTTAGGTAAAAAAAAAAACCATGATATGGGATCCTTAATATTTATAATATATAGGTCATAGCCCTTGAGTATGATATAGGTCCTATTTTTGGTGGTTAGATACTTCAGAATTGCTACTAGTTGCTGCTTTTGATTTAAAGTACAATATTTCATGAAAAACTAATTTTATAAAAACCCACCCAGGTGTTTCGTCTGTTAAACACATTTTCAACTACTTGTTGACAACTTTTATTTGTATTTTTAAATAAAAATGATATTAATTCTTAATTTATTCTTTTGACAGATATATAGAGATTTAACTTTGTTATCACGCGATGGTTTGCAAAGTGTTATATCTCATTTACAACAATTTACATTAGAAAAATGGAGTCGACTTCTAGAGCCTCCTCGCAAACAACTGTTGTGGCTAGTCCGCGAAATGGTACGCAACAACATTGCTGGTGTAGATAACCTTTGTTGGAACCTGATGAGAAATGCAGCAGGTGGTGACATTTCCACTACTAATATTGCACTCATTGAATATCTCCTTGATCTTTATCAAGACCATAGGTATGTTTTATATTGAATTATACATTTTAATTATATTTCATAATGTGATGTTTTTTTTTTTTTTTAGAAAATGGTTAGAGAGATTTCCCTGGTTGATAGCTTCTGTTGTGTATTCTTTTTTACGTTTTATTGAAGATCATTCTAGTTTAATTCCCCTACGCAATCGAGAAGTGGCGTTCACTATATCTTTACTACGTGATAGATTCACGGATTGCTTGGTTATTGGTCGAGATTTAATCAGATTATTACAAAATGTTTCACGTATACAGGAATTTGAAACATTGTGGAAAGATTTACTTCACAATCCTCAATCATTAAGTCCAAGTTTAACAAATGGTAGTTAATAGTTATGGTTAAGAGCAAAAATAGATGTATTGTTAAAATGAATGAATGAATTTTTTTTTCTTAGGTATTATACAAATATTGGAAACCCGAACATCTCGAAGATTCTTACAATCACGACTAACACCTGATATGGAACGTAAATTAGTGTTCTTTACTTCTTCAGTTCGATTCGGTCATCACAAAAGATATCAAGAATGGTTCCAAAACAAAGTAAAAAAAAATATTTATTTTATTTTCTCAAATAATATTGTTTTTATTATCTTACAGTATTTGAATACGCCTGAAGCACAATCTCTAAGAAGTGATTTAATCCGATTTATTGTTGGACTAATACATCCTACAAATGAATTGTTGTGTTCAGACATTATACCTCGTTGGGCTGTTATTGGTTGGCTTATTACTACATGTACATCAAATATAGCTTTGGCAAATGCTAAAATGGCTCTATTTTATGACTGGGTTTGTTATGATCCAAAACATGATAATATTATGAATATTGGTAAGTTATCAGCAGCTGTTCACGCAAATCTACGCACTGGATTCTTACTACAACTTTTGATAGTTAATATTAAAACAAATTTACATGTTATCAAATTTGTAGAAGATAATATAAACTGGACCTGAGCAAATAGTTTTTTGTCATATTTTTATTTTAAAATTAGTTAAAAATACTTAAATAATTATTTTATTCATATTCATATAACATGTTTTAAAACAATTTTATGAAGAAATTCATATGTATCATTTGTATCTATAAATTTGATAATAGGTAAGTTTTATCTAATGTTACTTAACTGTAAATAAAATCAGGTACATGGCCTAAACATGAGGATTTAGCGTAGGGCTGGTCGATTATTTTTTTTACCACTCGATTATTAATTTCACGTTTTATCGATTATTTCGATTACCAAATCGAAAATCAATTCTATAATGACTGATTAATCGATAACCAATTAATCAATTTTTTTACTATGGGTAAATTGATCCCTTAATTTCTACACAATTTTAAACAAGATTTGCAGTATGTTATTTGGATGTAGATGTCCACTTTTATATTATAATTAATACATTCGAATAATTGAACTCTAAACATCATATTATCACAGATTTAAAGTTTTAATATTTAATCTATATTATTAGTATGAATTGAGAACTTACATATTTTAAGGATAATCTGAGTCTAAAAATATTTGTATGTTTAAACATATTAACTGAGGAGCATTTTATATTTTATAATATAAGACTAAACAATAACTATAACAATTTAAATTATGAATAATAATAAATTGTGAATTTAGAAATGTTGCTGTATAGTAATATTTAACGTATATTATAATTATAATTATCATTCTTATTATATTATGTATTCATTGTTCCATTAAAAATCTAAAAAAAAAGGACTTAGTACTTAAGAACATCAATTATGCTACTATGGCTGTGCTAGGATAATTGTTAGGTACAAGAATAGTTAATCATAATAAACCAGACTGTTTTTTTTTTCAGTCATCTTGGTTGTGATTTTTTTAATTCAAACATAGAATAGTAAATATTCTATTAAATGATCGAAATTATTTAACAACGATTAATCGGCTTGTTTATTCGAAAAATTTAATTATTTGATCAATCGAAAATTTGATTATTTGATTAACTGTAAAATAATCGTCGTAATAATCGAAATAATCGAACCGCCCTAATGTAGCGTCCTCACCATAACTGAGATTATAATTTAATATATTACTTTACAATATATTTTAATTATTTAAAATACTAATTAATTATATAATTTATATTAAGTAACATAAATTACTTGTATTGTAGTTATAAAAAATGTATATATCATTTTTTTTTTACAGAGCCAGCCATTTTAGTTATGCTTAACTCTTTACGTATTCATCCAACAGTAACTGCCAGTTTGCTGGACTTTTTATGCCGAGTAATTATACATTTTATAACTTGAGTTTTTAATAGATTCTAGTATTACTGATATTCTGTTATGTATTACTAATTTAGTTATTACCAGTAATATATTCATAATACTTTTAGGGTTATCGCTCAACGCACATTTGCATATTCAGGAGGGCAACATTAAGGGCCTAGCTCCCTCTCAAAAAAAAAATTTCTTCCTAAACATAACTTGGTTTATGTTAGTGTATACCCCCACAAATACGTGCTGTAATTGATATATCTAGCCCCTCCTATATTTTTAACCATATTTACGTCTGCATCAGATGGAGTTGAACTTACTTTTTGTTCTGTTCTGTTCTTTTTGGTGTGTATGGAGTAAAACAAAATTGATCTCTACCTACTATACTTGCTAAAATTATAACTATTATTATTATGGTGGGTAGGTTACTAGGTTAGGTTAGCATAGGTCAAGAATTGTCACAGATATATACAAATTATCATAACTTTGCATCATCAAGTATAAAAAAATCAAGAAGAAATATATGTAATAGAAGTAACACAGTGTGGGTGTATGGAAAAGTGTAGTATTTAACGAATGGTTTAATCCTCCATACAGAATATAAAATATGAGAAAAAGAAAGTTAGCCAGTTAATTTTTTTTTAATTGATAATTTTATTCTTATAAGTATATTCCAAGACGTGATCATAATATGCATAATTTTATGTATTACCTATTATGTTTTAAAAGTAATTATTTAATTTGCTAATGGAACTCACTCTAAAAAAAATTAACTTAATTTTGTGTCATAGTTTTAAAGTGTCCTGGATACTTATTATATTTCTAATTTATTAATTCATTAGAAATCTTCAAGTTGTTTCTTATGGTGGGTAATAGTAAATTGGGCCACTTACAATAATACATTTTATTCTATAAAATAAATAATTATGTTTGTTGTTAATTATTAAATATTTTTTCATTTTCAGATTATTCCTAATTTTTATCCAGCTCAATCGGAGCGAATACGCAATGGTATTTTCGTTTCACTGAAGCAAATTCTTGATAAAAGAGTGTTAGCTTCATTAGTTCCTTTGTTTACAAATCCTCGAATAGATGGTGAACTTAGAGCCATGATACAAAATACTTTCCGGGAATTTTGTGATCCGCCTGCTGTTCAAGGTAATATATTTTTTTTATTTATGATAAATTTAATTAGTTAAAATCGTAATAGTGAATCTTGTAGCATATAGGACATTTATTATTTCTAAAAGTATTTACTTTTTTGGAAAAACAGGAAAAATTCTAACATTTTATGTTGCTTCTTTTTTCACCTCTTTAATATTTATTTGTGAATAATTTTATTTTTATATAAATTCATACGAACCGTAAAACTTTATTTTTTTGACAAAGATAGAACAATTATTGTTAGCAATATTCTATTAATATTTCTTATGTAAGCTAAAAAAACAAACATTTATTAATTTCAAACTGAAAAATAATTTGCCAAGTTTCGGTATTTGGATGAATTTTGCTTACATTTTAACTTTAAATGCAAATAAAAATCATATAGTAATCATGACTATGTGTCTTTAATATTTTTGAACTGCTATTCAAGAAACTTATGAGGACATTTGCATTACATTTTCAAACTTTTTTACCAAGTGTAAAAGTTTTTACTGACAATAATTTTCAAAATTCTTCTTTCATGCATGGAAAATGTTAATTTAAATATTTCAAAAATTGATTTTGCATAAAAATTCCCATTATACCTTCATTTTTTCCTCCAGACTTCTAATAGGAAATTTCAATTTTAACCTCCTAAATGGACCAACTGCATTCACTTTTCTATCAGAAAAAAATCAGATGTCAAAAATCTGCGCAATTTTACTCTCCCAAATGTTAATGCCAGAAAAAAAAACCCATAGTTGTAAATACAATACATTCATTCTCATCGCCCAGAATCTAAAATTAATAATTATACTGTATAATATTAAATAATAAAATATATATTTCAATTAATCTAGCAATTTTTATTTCAGGTGATCCGATCAAAAATGATGACATAATGGATAATTTACTTATATCACTTAAAGATGAGTTAATATCAGAAAATGATGATATCTCATTTAGTGACGAAGAAACTGAAACAAGTCCTAAGAAAAATATTATTTTTGAAAATAACAGTGTACCTGCTATTAAAACACCCCCATGTATGCTAATCAATTAAAATTACAAGGTTATCCAAATTAAGGAAAATACAATTTGGATAACTTTATGTAATATGTACTTTGTTCAATGTGAAATGGATCCTTGGCGAACGAACGGTTTAGTCAGAGACTAAAACCTAACTTTTAACGCCAAGATCCTTTCTCGATTTGTTCAGAAAATATATTCATTTTAATACTAAAATTAATTATATTTCAGTGAAAGTTAAACTAAAAGAAAAAACTGTACTTCCGCTTGATTTGGATAAAGAAGCTTTGCAAACTTTAACTAAAGAATTGAGACTGGAGACTGAAACATTATATTTTGAAAAAGATAATGAAAGAAAATGCGAAGCTATGGAGAAAATAGTTCAGTTAATTATACAGGATGATGATATATATCCAGAAATGATAGCAGCATTAGGCTCTTGTATTTCGTGTTTATTGAAAAATCAAATTGAAGAAAAGATCTTGCCATCTGTACTTAATGATGAGTAAGTTATTATTTTTTATTAAGTTGATCTAACAACACAATATTTATAGTATATATTTGGAGACACTTGAGTAAATATGGTAGTACTAACGGGCAAAAAGAGTTTTTCCCAAATCTCTGATCTTTAACCTCTTTCTTTTTGGTCAAACTATAAAGTTTAATATTTACTTTATTTAGTAATGTATTAAAACATATACAATTGTTGTCATTGATTGTATTAATCAATAGAAACATTTTATTATATATAACTTATATTTTTAATACTTTTCTATATTATGTATAAATTAAAGTATGAGCATGCTTTTAATAATTGTAGAAGATATTGATCAAATATTTGAATAATTATTGACAAAAATGATATATTATTATTATTAATTTATAATATTTTATTAGCTATATGCATTTTATACCACTTATATTTTTAATAATTTGTGGTATCTATTTTATTTTATTTTATGAATTGTAAAAAACAGCCATGCCCGTACTAACGTGTTATATGTTCATGAAATAAATTACTCTATATATCATACAATTTTTTGAGCAAATATATCTTTAGAAATCTTTTATTTTATTATTTGTTTTTATTTATCCATACCTTAAAACAGGAAAAACCTTAAATTGTATAATTTAATACATACTAATCATATTTATTTTATATTAAATTTTATAGTGCATTGGAAGACAGTATTGGAAAACCAATATTTGTTATGTTCCGTAGTCTAACCCAATTTGCTGAAGAAGACTCTCGAAGGTTACAACTTTTTTCTTTGCTTGCTGAAATGAGAACACACCAAACCAGAATTGGTTATTTATTGCTCTATTATTTGCAAGTGAGCAGCTTAATAAACAATAACGCTGATCGGAAAGTTAAGTAAGTTTAAAATTTAAACATAAATTAATGCGATAATAATATTAACTTTAATGTTTTATTTTAAGTGGTATCAAGTCTCATGTATACAAAGAATTTTGTGAAACTCAAGAAGTTGAATTAAATGAATGCTTATTAAGTGATCTTCAGTTATGCCAAGAAGATGATACATCAATGTTTTGTTGGCTAATCCCCGCTGTCTATGATCAGTTTTCAAAGATTGTTGTTGGAAATGAAGATTTCTTACATTTAGTTGTATCTACTATTGATGGCTCACAGATACAAGAAATAATTTGTCTAATTTTACAAGGTAACATTTTTTTTTTTGAACACTTGAAAAATATTATTTTTTTAATTAATTTTTTATAATTATTTACTAGGTAAATTAAGCATGTTTCGATCTGACGCTGTACCATCATTAGCAACTAGTTCATTGGATTGGGAAACAATGGAACAATATTTTTTTTGGCAATTGGTGTCTGCACATGACATTGATATTAAAGTGATATTATCAAATATCACAAAATTAGACTACAATAATCACCCTGAAACCCTGACTAGTATTTTGCTCACGCTAAAAAAAGAAAAGTAAGTTTATTTTATTTTAAATACATTACATAAAAAATGTATTATTAATAACATCTAATTAATTTTTTTAGGCCCACTTTAGATTTATTGAAACCTATACTATGTAGAGAAATTAAACCTTTAAATGACCAATTTGTTATATCTGTGATATCTAGTTGGTATTTGGAACATGGAGATAATGTAGCTAATCTTGTTTCTCAGCTTTTAATTAGTAGATGCCCAGTTGTGTCTCCAACCAAACGAAAACGTGGACAAGGTGATTTACTTTTTCATACATAGCTGATTGTTATAAGCTTTTTTGTTATTATATAAATAATTATATTACAGGACAGGGTTTAGGTTCTAGAGGAGGAGTTGCGCCACCCAGTGCTGAGCGAATACTTGGTCACATGGAACGCATTCGAAGTCGGGGTACTTGTCCTGTACTGTTTCGCGCTGAAGGCATGCAAAAAGCTTTGCAAATTGCTCAAGCTGCATGTACAGATACACAGCGCATGTTGTTTAGCAACCTTTTTCAGTTGCTCGAAGAAGATGAACCACATACACCAACCACCAATAGAAATTCAACAAGTGGTAAACGTGGTCGTAAAGCAGCTCCTACGTTTGGTAATAGTAACAAAAAAAATGCTAAGTCTGTGATAAAAGACCTTTCGGACAGCTCTGAAGAGTCTAGTGAAGTAAGTCAACCATTTTGTAGAATGTATTTGTTCATTTAAGAATTTATATGATTTATTTCTTCTTTTAGGAGGAAGAAGTTATAAAACCAAGACAGACAAAAAAACGGAGAAAAATAAATGCAGTCGCCTCTGAAAGCGATTGATATAAGGTATCTTTACTCCAGGGTAGAATCATTTATACTCTACCATAAGTTATTATACAGTGCTAAACAGACACAGATGTTTTCCACAGTTTAATTCCTCCCCCCAATTTTAATTTAATTGTAATAATGTTAAAAACAAATTTATATATATGTGTGTGTATATATATATATATATATATATACACAAAAAAATCGGTGAAAAATTATTTTCTTAAATTGTTAATCGATTAATATGTTAATACAGTGTAGTTCATTATTTTTATTGTTTGTAATGTGACTGTTTTTGTAAATACTAATATTTTTAACTGAATATATTTAAATGAATTACATTTTTTCATCTTTCATAACCATACATTTTTGTATATCCTGAACAAACAACCTATCACTGATATAGTGAAGTAATTGGGTGAAATTGACCTTTTGTTACTAAATAAGAGTTTATAATCTTTGCTAAAGAAATTTAACTGGTTTTTCATAATCGCTCAAAATAATTAGATATTTTAGAAATAAAATCAACATTTTCTCATCAATTAATCAAATGTCAAAGTACATTTAAAATGTTTAAATATTTTCTCTGGGTATCTATATTTAATATTTAATACTTATTTTCTTATCTAATATTAATAAAAAGTAATATAAATATATAAGAATATTTTTTAGTTAAAATTTAACAATTCTTTTTTTATTTGTGATTCGCTTTAATTTATATATTAGTATAATGTTAAAAAAAAAGTGAAATGCAGGAATTAGCTGGTGTTTTTAGGTATATAATGTACGGAAAAAAATTATTCTGGGTAGAGGTTAGTCCAACCTAAGTATTCAAGAATTTGTTAAAACAGATTCTTTTTTACTATTTATTCACCGGTTTTTTTTTATATGTATTTTGGCAATTTTTCTCAACAAATCAAACTAAAAAAATATTGTTTTAAGAACAAACTTAAATTTACCATGGCACGGCATATCATTTTTACTGCCACTATAAGTATTTTCCAGAAATAGCAGGTATACAACATTTTAAATTATTAAGGAGTACCTATTCTACAGTTCTAAACCTAAATTTTAAATTCCACATTATAAAACTCACAGAGTATGTTACTATTCTGTGATTTTGTGAATTACTTTAACCACCATAATGGTTATTTTATATCAGTATTATTAAAAACAGTTAAAACCATAAATAACAGTAACAATTTATAGTTATAATTCTAATTTTAGTTTTACTCCCTTAAAATATTTATTAGGTGATTGGTAAATTAATAGTTGAATACATTCAAATTCATTTGACTAGTTTACAATTCTGTATTTTAAGATGTGTGCAATCTATTCATCAAAGAGAAAAACCATGATTGGAATTTGCATCATATAGTATTAATTATTGGTTCAAACTCATTTATTTATTCAATATAAATAATAATAAAGAAAATATTAAAGGGGTACAAGATTCTTGGCAGATATGTGATAGTTTGCCATTTTCTAACCAATTATCTATTAATTTAGTTCCACCAAAATGTTGAATAGTACAAAGCAAAACTGAAACAACCCAAACCATTGTTATATCAAACATCTGTTGTGATACAAATAATTTAATGTGTTTTATACCTTTAAGAATTGTTTTTTAGAAATAAGTAGAAAATGGTTAAAATATAATTGATTGCACAACTAATAAAACTGGAGAAAATTGAAAGGTTAGGTTAGGTTAGAAAAAAAACTGTGTAGTTTTGATAAATCACAAGGGATGAACACAGTGTTGGGTAAACCGTCCGTGCATTGCACTGGGGCTATGTTGCTTTGGAATAGTAGGGGATTATGTGTATTGAAGTTTAAAGTATCATAAATTACATAAACATAATAGAACAAACAAGTAGCCAGAATTTTTTTAGAGGGAGGGTATTTTAATATAATATCTGGGGGGCTTTATACACTCCCTGTAGTATTAATTGTAGTCATTAATCTACATATTAATTATATTTTGTAGAAATCTGAATTATATAGTGCATAATATATTATTTTGCATAAATACGGCCAATGGAGGTCTTTCAAACACCCCTCTGGCTACACTACTGTAATAGCATAGTATTGCGTGCAGATGACTAGATAATGTATTAGAACTATGATAATATTATCTACATTATTTGGACAGCTAAGATTGCTGTATTTAAAATTGTATACATTGTAATTAATAATAAACCAATCCTTTAATGCCATTATTAAGTCCCCAAAATATCCTTTTCACCCTGCCATCCTAAGTTCAAGATACCACACTATGTAGACACTGTATTTTGTTATTCGTGGATCTACCATGCATCAAAAACAAATGTTGTATACAGAGGTATTTTAAACTACTAGAAAGTAAAAAAAATCTATTTTAGAAATTATTAAAAATAATATAAAACAATTGTTCTTGTAGAATTGAATATTATGATAAAAAAATTGAGTCAACACCAAATTCTCATTACATAATATTTAGTCAGATGAGGACAACAATTAATAGTGTTAAATCTTTTTTTTGAAATAACCATATTGTTATGATTAGCATAATTTATATTTTATTCAGAAAATCAACTTTTTTTTTTCTGTGGTAGTAATTATAGGTAACTGAGATAGGCAAAACCTGTATACTATATAGTATTCCAACCTCCATTCAGAAAATCAACTAGAACCATTGATTTTATATTGTAATTTAAATCATCCCCACAGCGAAATGGTTATTTACCCCGATGGCCTATTCCCAGATTAGGGCTGGCGGTATTTTCGGTATACCGATAAATACCGGTATTTAAGAAATACCGGTATCCGGTATTTTCGATATTTCAGAATACCGGTATACCGTGATTCGGTAATTACCGTCATTACCGAAAATACCCTACCCCGGTAATTACCGAAAATACCGTACCCCGGTAAATACCGAAAATACCGTACCCCGGTAATTACCGAAAATACTAGCATATATATTCATAATGACATAATATAATATTGTAATTTTCGTTATCTGTTATCTAACATTATACTAAGATTATAAGAATGGATAGGACACGCCTATACTGGCTTCGCAAGACTAGGTTGCGGTATTTCACCGGGCAGTTTAAGGGTTTAAGTAGGCCTGTGCTAGGGGGAAATACGATGAAAATACATAGCGCTAGCATTTGGGCTTGCTCCACTTTCCTGCATTAACCCCGCTACCAGCCCACCCGTTTGTTACCAGTCCAGTACACAGAATTAGACGTGTATAAATTCTTTATCTCGATGCTCGGGAAAAAAAACTGCTATTTTTTGCCTAACTTGCTAATTAACATTTGACGATGTGGTAATATTGTTTTGATTATTATTAAATGGTCAATATCGTAAATATCGATTGTCAGGACCTGCCGCGTCCTGTATGCACTAGTGCCTTGTTATTGATATCTCGACATCACGTTGACTGTTATACAACAACTGTTGTCTGTATCTCTAGATCAGAGTTTCTCAACCTTTTTAGCGTCGTGAATACCAAAAAAATAGGTTAAAAAAAATCAGTTACCTCACGATCCCCTCCCTCTTCGTTTGTAGAAGTAATTTATTATTTTTCTAGAAACTACCCCTCCCATTTTCACCATATCACAAAATATTGGGAGTCTTAAAGTCTTAAACAATAATAAATAATTACACATGATTTTTAGGTGTTAAAGGTAAATTTTCTTAGGTTGGAAACTTAGAAACACTTATAAATTTACCGAGATGCGGTATGTATTCCGTGTACAGTATTTTCGGTAATTACCTCACCTCGTTATTTTCGGTAATTACCGTGGTACGGTATTTTCGGTAATTACCGTGGTACGGTATTTTCGGTAATTACCGTGATACGGTATTTTCGGTAATTACCGAAAATACCGTATAACCGGTAATACCGTAAATACCGGTAGTAAACAAATACCGGATACCGGTATCAAAATTTTGAATACCGCCAGCCCTATCCCAGATTATATTATTATATATGGTGTGTTTTTAAATACCTACGTCCTACAATGTTTAATTGAATGTCAACTGTTCTTATGTTTATTACAATTTATTATTCTATTCACTGCATTCCAGAATTCCATATTTGCCATGTTTTTTATATTAATTATATTTTTATAAAATAATATAACAATTGACAATGGATGAATAACTAGCCTATGGTGCTATGACTGCTACTCACTATGACTAGATAGTAGATTATGTATTATAATAGTATAATTCAAAATAAAAATAAATTAGAATATGAATTAAGATTTACATTTAAGGCTAAGGAAGAGGTCATACCACTTCATACTGCAATAAAAAAAGAACAAAATATGTCAGCACTTATGCACTTAAATAGCCCTAAAATATGCACTCAACTTTTTTTCCTAGTAGCTTAATTAGTAAATATAGTGAATATAGTAAATATAAAAAATAAATAAAATAAGAACAATGAAATATAAGACCACGGACAAATGACAATACATGAACATAAGTGAAGTCTTTACGAGTGTACACTCAAAAATGCTCACAACAACCATATCCATGGAGGGTTTCAAATTTCAAATCATCGTTTTGATAAACGTTGTATAAAAGAAAATAATATGCTTCATAAATCAAAGGTTTAATTAACCTGAATAATAAGTCAAAAAAAGCCAAAAAATAATACCTACATCTAAATGGCTAAATATGCAACATACAATTACAGTTTTGGATTTTTGATAATATGAAACAAATTTGTTTATATATAGCTGATCTCTTTTTGTGATTGAGCTAAACAAATGTACAAATGATGGAAGTCCTCAGTCCTAATTATGACTATAGATGACATATTTTATATATTTAGTATTTGTAGTATTTGTAATAACCAGTATAGTGGGTGGAGGTATTTGCCAATATATTTTAAATATATTTGCATTTTTTTTTTGTTACCTACATGGCTACATCGTAGAAGAAATAAGTTTGGTCAACATTTGACTGTCATAAGTATTAAGCATTAAGAGGACTTTGATACCCGCATGTGTTGTCTGCGTCTTACAAGTGCGTAGCATAGCAAATTATACGCAAAGCAGAATACGTATAGCTCCGTTAGTTTAAAAATTAGAGTGAATTGACCTGTTATAAAATCTAAAGGTAAGATTATTATCTAGACAACCTTTTGGGCTTTTTTTTATATTTTAATTTTAAAGCGAGCCATGAGTATTTTAAAACTGTAAATTGTTTGTACATTTCAAAGTACTCATAACTCGCTTAAAAATTAAAATATAATAAAAAGGCAAAAAGCTCATGAGGTTGTCTAGATAATAATCTTACCTTTAGATTTTATAATAGGTCAATTCACTCTAATTTTCAAACTAACGGAGCTACACGTGTTCTGCCTTTTGCTTTGCGTCAAATTTGTTATGTTATGCACTTGTAAGACGGAGACAACATATGCGAGTATCACGTCCTCTTAATCGACCATTAGTATAGTATTGTATTTGTATACGAAAATGGGTGTTGCATATTTGTGGACTTGTGGTATTTGCATGTTTCTTCATATTGGATAATTCAATATTTGCCCATACGGCATAGTTCATTAGTTCCTATTATTATCATTTATCGCCTACTAAATTTTAAATTGGTTATGCTTAGGACTTATGATAAATTGTTGTGTTTATTTAAAGTTTTAACTGTAGGTACCAAACAGAACAAAAAATAATATATTACACTTTAAAAAGTACTTGTACTATAAAGTATTGAACATTTTTCAGTGCCAATACAAAAATTAAAGAAATGCAAAAAAATGCAAAAAATTACTGCGATGGCCGGGAATCGAACCCGGATCAACTGCTTGGAAGGCAACTATGCTGACCATTACACCACCAACGCACGTTGAAGATAGTAATAAAAGATGCTGTATATAAATAAATTTCACTATAGTTGCTATAGTGTGTATTGCCATGTTTTTGTTTTCAAAAATCATGATAAGAATAATGTGGAGACATGTTGAATGTTGTCATGTTGATAACGGAATCCGATTGACGTCCTGGTCCGACGACCGTAGTACCGTACCATTCATTAACCATTATTAAATTTAATAATAATTATATAATATATATTATTTCGGCATAATACATTAATACCTTTTAACTATTCCGCCGGTAAAAATGTCAATCCGATTACTGAGGACAACGTAAAACGGCTTATTTCTTATTTCATTATTGTTCTTACGGAAATATTTTAAATCCAAAATGGCTGCAAACCCGGGACCGGCACATTCAACGTCGTCGGCGCCATTTCGTTTGACCGACTCGGAAACGAATCCGATGTGCATTTATCTGGTGAAAAACGACAGTAAGGGTGACAAACTGTTGTTCCGTTACCCGTTCCACAGTTTCGGTGGACCCGTCAAGGTGAGCCTGAACGATCACAAACGGTCCCTGCACAAAGACTCGGGATTGGTAAAGACGGTGCGACCGCACGATCTCACTATCTTCACGGACGACGTCATATCCAGCCTGTTCGCCGTCAAGATGGAGCTGTGTGACCGCAAGTTTGAACTGAAAGTGAACAATGTTCGATTTGTCGGTCACCCAATGCAGCTGGTGACTGGCGGGAGCGATGGTGGCAGTGAAGGCGGCAACAAAAAACCACAGAGCCCATCAATTATAATGATCAACATTGTTTTTGCGCTAGATGCATTTGCCCGCCGTCAAATATCTAATTGCTACTACGATCTGAGCAAAGTATTAGGCGTTGCTCTGCGTCACGAAGAAAAGCGTTGCGCGTATCTATCCTCGCAAATAAAAGATATGCTCTACATACATGATACCATGGCCATGAGTACAAAGTAATAATATCTTACACATAATCCGTATGCGATTAATTTATACTGTTAATATAAATGCATGATACCACTTCGTGATTCAAAAATTATATTTTTATTTTAAGTAAAAATTTATTTCAATAACAATGTGTCTAATGTACTTAATAGTCTTTTTAAATACTGAACATCAACTTTAATACAATTTGAGGAACTCAAGAAGTTATGATGTAGCTGGACAATCAGTTGTTGTTTAATATTGTATGTACAGGATAAAATTGTTATTGAAATATCTATTGACTCTAGACTGGTATTTACTTGAAATAAAAAATAATTAGGTACCCACTAATTACTATTGTTTGTGAATTTAAGTATTGATTATTTTTCCTTATAGTGAATGTGACCTAGACTCGTCTGTTGATAATAAACATTTCATAAGTATCCTCGAGAACAGTTCATTGGCACAAGATTTGAAATCTGTGTTTGAAGGTGTTGTTACCAATGGTTTAATCAAGTTAAAAGTGAATGACTGGGTAGATGTCAGCTTCTGTTTGCCACACAAGGTCCATCATTTCTATAGAGACGGACAATATTTTGAACCAGAATCTATTAACAAGTGGGAGCATGTTTGATTTGATGATGTGAATCAGTACTAGTATGTTTTGTGCTTGAAGGTGTTTAAAAGGACTTAGACCATATCATGGTTTGCTGTTAATGGCTGACCGTAAAGTTCTGTTGGACAGCTTGCCACAAGATTCTAGTCCATCAATTGTTCGACTAATCAATATGTATAACCCTGTCAAAAGTTTAGAAACCTTATCTGCTGATTCGGATCTTACCTTGGCTCAGGTAAGACATAACTGTCAATTTGTTTGTTTTAAATATTATTGTAATTCAACATGTTAACAGGTATTTAATATAGCGGGACATTTGATTTATTGGGGTGACGCAATTGTAATATTTCCATTGTCCGAAACAAACATGTATGCCATTGCTCCTAACGTTCCAACTGAACGCAACAATAAATTTGCAAAAAAATTTGAAAAAAAGTTTCCTGGACAAAAGTTATTGGATGTAATTAGTTTTTTTCCAAATAATTTGATCCTGTATAACTTATATCTAGTAATTTAATCTTATTAACATATTACATTTAAAATTAGGTAATGAGTGAATTTTCCTTTCCAACATCGTTGCAGTATAAAATGTGTCCAATTGAAGATAAAAGTAGTGGATCAACAACAATCCAAATACTGATTTGGTTGTTACAACACAAAATCTTATTACAATATCATACATACATGTATTTTATGCCATCCAGTAAAGGACTTGTAAATATTATTATGCGTTTTCTAGTTAATATCATTCTTAAGTACCTATATATATATATATATATATATATATATATGTTTTTGCAGGGTTATTATAATGATGAATCAGAATTTCATGACTACAATAATAAACACCCGTCTGAAGCACCAATGACTACATACCAGACACTATCTGAAAATTGGCTGCAGTTGTCATCAGGGGGATACAGTTCTTCCATGTCAAGTGCTGAAGAAATGTTTCACAGTTTGGACGAAGATGAACAAATAGCATTGATGCATATACCTGCATCAGCAAATCCTGACGACTTTCGTTTATTAATGAGATTGTTAAAACAAGGTTATCTTTCTGGAGAACATCATTTAGAAGAGATAATGTATTTAGAAAATATCAGGCGATCAGAATTACTAAAATTGTTGGACAAGTTCAAAGATGTACTAGTTACTGTTGAAATGGAAGATCCGATAATTAGTAATTTTTATTCTCATTAAGGAAATAAAAATATCTAGTTTTGAAAACTGTTTAGTTGTGCAAAATTGACAACAAAAAAATTAATGTCTTCAAGTTAAAGATTTTTTTTTATATTTTTATAAATAAAATTAATACGATTAGATTTACTAATATTTAAAATTCAGGGGAATAATTAATGTTTAGTTATTTATTTTATTAGACCGAAAATAAAATATAAATATTTGTTTGTTAGTTAACACGTTAAATTTGTTTTTGTATTAAATATTAATATAGCCTTGCGAGGTGAACAAATTTTATATTTTTATAAAATAATCATGAATAATGTTATATCTGTATCATATTTTTTTTATCACAGTTTTCAAAATATAATTAAACTGAAATTTTTCATGTACATATTATTAGTTCTAAATTCTATATTTATTTTTTGACTCAACAAAAGTGTCTGCATGAAAGAAAATAAGGATAATTTAAGAGAGAAGTTTGGATCGGAATGGTTACATTTAGGGCTGTGCGATAGTATCGATTAATTGTTTTTTTATCAAACAGAATACTATATACTCTACTAACCGATACTATCGGTAATAACAATAAGGAATATTGTACCTCATTATTGAGTAATGTACTAATAGTTAATACAGTAGTACGGTTCTTAGTAGGGTTGAGATTTTTAAACATCAAACATAAATTAATCAAACATGGTTTTGTTAAAAACAAATGATTTAAATAACATTAAAAAAAACCGTTTTTTAAAACAGAAAAATATAATTTATACGAGTATAATAATTATTGTATAATAATTTAACTTATTAATACCAAATTTTGTACTTTGCCACCAACATCTGTTCGTATTCAAATATTTTATTTGAAAAATAACTTAAAAATATATACGTACATGCAGTGGCGTCCGCAGGATTTTTCAATGGGGGGGGGGGGGGGCTGAAATTTAGTTACAAATTTATTTTTATTTTGTCCAGTCTAATAATTTCAGACGTTTATTTGAGGTATTTTAAAATGTTTGTAACTTTTCAACTTTCCTTGTAGAAAATATGCTCTTATAATAAGCTTCGATGCCCAGTGTATGTTTTTGGAAGCAAATTGGATCTAGTTGGTACTTTTAGGAGGTCGAAGTTGAATCTGCTCCGTGCTTTTAAAAGTACCTAATTGGAACTTATTTAAATTGTTTGGTAACAGTAGCTTGGTTACAGTGACGTATTTATGGGGGGGATATGGGGGATAGATCCCCTCCCTTACCCATTTTTTTCCATGTATAAAGTACAAACTGCTGCAGTACTGTTGTTATTTATAATTTTATTATTCTGTGGGCATGTGAGAGACATTACACAACATTTATTATTATTATATACCTTACATGGAGTAACTAACAAAAAGTTGCAACAGCACTAAACAAATTTTGATATCCCCCTCCTCAAGAAAATCCTACATACGCCCCTGCTTGGTTATACCGTCCTCACTTGGATTGTATTTGATTAATTAAAATTTTTTTTTTATAAATGTCAATAAAAAATTATTTATCCGGTCAAAAAGCTTAGAAATGTAATACGTAAGTTTTTTTATTATAGCTAAAATATTAACGATACATATGCATTTATAAAGTTCAAAACAATTTAACCACAGTTAATTTGTAGTTCAAAACTTATAAAATATAAAATATGTACAGCTAAGGCTAGACAATTTAATACAAGGTCTTTCGTACAAGTAGTTCATTCTTTTACCGAAAAATTACAGATAATTTATGAAAATTGGTATGCAAATACAATGTTTTTTCAAAAATGAATTCATTCTGGTAAGTCATATATGAAATTTACGTCTTGCTTACTATAGTTGACAGTTTAAACTTGATTAATATTTTTTTTTAAAGTAATAATAATACGGGTAATGGGGGGGGCTTCAGTCCGTTAGCCCCCCCCCCTGCGGACGCCACTGCGTACATGCCTACTTATTAAGGCAAACAATGAAATGCAGCGGCACAGCAGGCTAGATAAAACTTATTTTGTTTTATATCTAGGTTTTGTAATGTCGACTCGTTCACTTGTTATAATTGCCAATTGGGTACTTACTTTATCACATCAACAAATTATTAAGGGTGTCGGTGCCGGTCATTTATTAAGGAGTAAAATTTAGGCAATTCAGTTCACAAGTTGTATCGGCCTCGCGCAGAACGCGTGTAAATCGATATTATTGTGAGTGAGGTATAATTACAAGCGCTGATAAAGATATTTACACACGCCCAAACATAAGTCACTGATTGACTTCGATGACTATTATCGAAGCACTATTTTGCTGAAAAAAAAGGTTTTACAGGAAAATCTCTCACGCCTCAATGATATGTAAGATTTTAGTTATTTTTTTTTATCTGAAAGATGAGAAGTTTTTGCAGGTCGGATCAAAGCTTGAATTTTTATTTTACTTTAAATAGTAGTAGAAAAATACGTTTGAAAAACAACAAAAATTGTGCATATTCCGGCTTCTATAATTATAACTTTCAAAATCGGGCTTTGATCCAACCTACAAAATGTTCTCTACTTTAAAATAAAAAAAAAAAATTAACGAAATCCAATTAATCAATAATTGTCAAAAAAGTTATAAAAATTAGGTAAAATGTTGTGCCTAATATAAATTTGGTAGGTAGTTGTGTGCCTGGTGGTATTAACTATTCTTTAACCACCAACTGGTTGATTGTTAGTTATTCTTATTATGCTATTACCTACTATATGAAAGATAATTATTTATTTTCTAGGAGGCAGGAGCTATTGAATGTAAAAAGTATAAGTTCAATCAGACATGTGTGTTACTGTGTTGTGAAAAACCATATACCTACATTTTTCAACTGACAAAAGCAGTATTAGTTTAGAATATTTGACTTCAGTACTTTCTAAAGATATAATGTATCCAAACATATATATTCTTATGCAAGTTTCACTCACTTTAACCATAAGTTCATCAACATGTGGACATAGTTTTTCAGCAATGAGAAGAATAAAAACATGGTTGAGGTCATCTATATTGCAAAATAGATTCAACAATTTAGCCATCATCAGTATAGAAAATGATATTTCCAGAACAATTGATAGAGAAATCATACTGGATCCATGTGCAAAAAAAATAGATATATTATTTTAAAATAAATATTTTAATATAATAACTAGATAACAAGGTTGTTACTGTAAATTAATATTTAATAATTTTGTTTTTATTTAAAATTTGTATAACTTATATTAACTCTCTGATATATTTAAAGTTAAAATTCAAGTATATGCATGTGTAAATATATTATATAACACCTATAATATGTTTAAAATAAATTATGCTTAGTTATGCATGGTGTTTATATGCAATAAAGTATATTTTTTAAATATTAGCCCCCTCTAAAATTATGGAAAATGTTCGCCTATTACGATCGTATGACTATTAGAGACCACCGCAAGAAATCTGAAAACACCATGTTTAAACATAATTTATAGGTACTACGATGAGAACTGAGAAGCTGTTTTTCATACTGATAAATTATGAAGTCAAGTCTTAATGGTTGTATACAATTATTATAGTTGATCGGGTAATTTGGATTCCAATTTACCAAAAATCAGTTTTACTATGAAGTATATGAATCGCGAATGTGGGTATCGATTTCATATTAGTATTTATATTTTATTGTACTAGCTATTAGGTATAAGTGGACGGTATGTTTTAAAATTATGTATTAATTATTATTTATTATATCTTATAATTTTAATACATAATTGAAAAATCGAAAACATGTAAGTTAATTTAAACTCACACTTCAAAACCGTGGGGCTTATAATATATTTTTGAACCGCTGGGCCCTGGGAAAGTACCCCTTCTCTATTTAAAGTGAAATGAAAATTAGGGCTTTAATCCTACCTACAAAAAGTTTAATTTTTTTCGATAAAAGATTATCATTACTATCAATATTATCAGAATAATATTGAATTATTCGGAGTATTTCGATATATAAAAATAAAATGTTGGATAAGTATAATTTATTAGCTTGTTCTCATAAATTTATAAATATTCCAATTTTTAGAAAAAGGTTGTTTTAAAGTTTAAGCGACTTAAAGTTATGTAGAAAAAATAGTATCAAGAACTTTAAAAAGTGTTTGAAATAATTAATGTCTTACGTTAAAATTAATAGGTATTTAATGCCTATCGAATTGTCATCTATCGGGTGTAGGTACTCACATTGAACCAGTTATAAAGATAATTTATTTGTATTGATAATATATTACGCCCTATACTATATCAATAATAATAGTGGTCTTTGGAAAAATGAACGCTCTATTTTGTATTAAGTAAATCTTATATTGTACTTTACTGTTATTATTTGAATTTAAATTTGATGTCTAATTTGAGAACCTTTCACCTTCAACCCAAGCTTTTGCTTATAGGAGGTCAGCAAACTTACAACTGTATTTATATAATTAAAAATGTGTTGGGAATTGTTTGCAAATAAAATAAAATTGTTATTATATTATTATTGTTAACGCGCTCGAAATTCTGATGCTACGGGCCGACCAGAACGATAAACATACTAGCTGGCGTTAAGTCGTTAAAATATATATTTTAAATAAAAAACCTCATTGGTCGATTATATAGAGTATAATCCAAAAGTAGTATCCAAGAGTACCTATGTTCCAAGAAAAATTCAAGCCATCAAGCACTATATAAAGGCGACGAATGACTGCGGAATGAATCATAAAATAACGCATTACACCGGCGGATACGATATGGACGGTTATATAAACCATACAAGAATTGTAAACAATAATAATGTATATTGTGTAGAACGCTTAATATAGTCAATTTGACTCAAATAGTTGATACAAAATAATATTTAAAAAAAATCAAAATTGTATTTTACATTGGTAAAATAATAATATAATACTGCATGTACAAAAATAATATTGTTTGAAAACATTTCGGTTTAGCTGGTTTGAACCATTAAACCCCCGTGTATACGTGCATGTACCGATACCATATTTTC